CACATTATTCTTCCACCTCATGTCGGCGGTGTAGCTCACCGATTAATAGGAGAACTATTCCTCGCCTGCGGATGAAAATCAACTCCGCGGATCGTTCTCACTCCAATTTTTTCTCCTTCCGTGGAGGACATTTATCGTCGTGTTGTTTGTGTTCGGGCGGGCGATAATTACTTGCTGCAAAAACTAATACACCGACCCGCACGGAGCGGAAAGATGCGTATCGCATGTGATGTGTCCTCGTTCACCTCCGAGGCAATCTGCAGTTTGCCTGATTATCTTGATTATTATGTAGATGGATGAATTAATCTTCGGCCGCTGCATTGTCGTGTTAATTGTCCTCAGACTGACAGTTTCTGTCGAGTTCAGATGCGCTATCAAATATAGCTGCAGCTGGCCCGCTGTCTAGAGAGTGGTTCCTGAAATTAAGCCACCAGCCAGCGCGCAGTGTAAGAGGCGCGAATTTTGAAGCGCCGCTTTGAAACATTTAGAGAAGCATCATACAACACGACGCACGGAAAAAAAATTCCGCGAGCCATGTTTCACTTACACATCTCTCTTTTCCTAATGTTTTTGATTCACACAGAAATTGATGGAAATAAGTTTATCAGTCCCGACTGTCGTGTACATTTCCTGCGCGGTCGTGTTGGAAATGACTCCCGAACCCGGCTGGCGCATAAGTTACACCTCCGGAATAGATTGAGTGATTCAATTTCTCTTGTTGCTCGCGGAAATGTTCTCATTGCGAGGTGAGAAATTAACTCCTAATGAGATCCAGCTCTTCAGGGACATAAATCTGAAAAGCCTTCTTCCCCAATCTCATATCTTCTCCCGCATCGATATACGCATCAGAGCCTGGAAATCTCGCTGAGTCGCGGCTGGAGTCTTTCGTTGGATCGTGTTCGAGCGCTGCGAGAGCAATTCAAGTTGTTACTTTGTGCCGCAAGCACGACGAGAATGAATTTGTTGCTGAGGAGTTCCGTACAAGGAGCTGTCACACCTCCGAAATAATCCGGTGAAACAGCTCCCAGAGAAGAGCACGTATAATAAAATAAAAAGCAGCCAACAAATCTTAATCTATATGAACAGGTGGATACGGTGCAATACTTTGCCATTCAGAGCGGGAGACGGGTGTCAGGCGTGGCTTTGGGCGCTTCAGAATTTACACTGATTAAAATTTTAATCTGCTTTGAAATTAATTGCTCCCCAATCTCACCGCTGCGCCGTAGTCCTCCGCGGACAGTTGGACACAATGAGTGATTTAGACTTGAATTCTTCTCGAACACAAACGGTTCTTACGCGTCTTTCCTCTTTGTTGTCCGTCTCCCTGCTTCTCCTCGACCCCTTCACGGCTCTCTTCTCTGAAAACCCATCAACAAACGCTCAAAAGCGCTCGAGTAAGCCCGCGAGCTTGGCCTGCCATCGCTTATTTCACAAACCGCAAGTACCTCGGGATGGGGCTCGCGTACATCGCTCTCTCAGAAATGGAAAATTTCGCCGAACCGAGATTGCGCGCCGCGTGAGTTTCCTTGGACACCATCCGGCGGGAAAATTCTGGTTCGGAGGAGAACCGAGCCTCCTCTCCGTAGGGAGAACGAGGAGATGAGGTCACAGCCGTTCTACAAAGACCAACCGTGTATCGCGGATGCTCACGTCGTGGGCATATGGGTCGAGCGGCGAAGCAGGAGAGTCTGGTGACACGAAGGGCTCTCCGACCCCGAACCGAGCCTGTTCCAGCACTTCGACCACCTAGATTAGTGAAATGGTGGGCGGAATCATTAATTGTGCTCGAGTGCGAGAGTTAACCCGCGAAGGCTCGCCCAATGAGAACGAGGACATTCAGCGTCCAGAGTACAGAGCTTGGAGGATCCTCATAAGGGTGCCATTGATTTAGAGACCGACGCAAGACATGATTTCTCAGTTACACAGGCGGAGCTTTCTTCTTCCTGAGGGAATTCTCCGGGGAGCGGCGACCACGTCATCACCGTAAGCGTCACATATTTTTACGATGCCAGATCAATGATCAGTCATCTGAGCCCGCGAGGTTCCATTGGTCTGTTTCGAAGAGAAGGATGGAAACGATAACGCGTCCGATCGCTTTACCAATCGATTGGATGATTTATGTTCTATAGAGTGAGTCCATCGATCAGTGATTCGACAGACTCGATCGGAGACTAGTCGAGCTGCGTGGAAGGAAGGAATCGCAGGGAATCGCCGCAAGAGCCGTTCGTTGGAAGTGCTCTCTGACTGAGAGCTAGTTACGCGTTCCCCCTCATTCGACTTCCTCAGAAAACGACGAATCTTTCGTCCACTAATCATTCATTAATCATTCTTATCACATGCTTCGTAGAAGCGTTCGAGGGGTCGGAGAGGCTTTAGGACTATTTCGGTCATAGGTGCTCAAAAAATCTCAGGAATTATTAATATTAGAGAAGTTTTTTTCTCTCACCCATTTCAGGACTCGAGCGAGCAGACAAACGGCCATGCAAGCGCTTCGGGACGGTCGGATAAGGTGAACTAAGAAAAAGAGACTTTAAGCCGCTGGTGACCTTTGACAGTTTCTTCTCCTTTTTGTTAATGATCGTTTCGTGTCGTTTTGGTGCGAGATCTCTTCCTAATGGTCGGCCCGCTTCATTACTCTTCCGCTGATTCGAGATTCTTCTTGCGCGCGTTCCTTCCTCTGTCCCCGTTCTCCTTCCGCTTACTTTTTTATGAACTATTTCGAATCGTGGGCTTCGCGGTTGAAGCGGGAGATTCGCCCGAGAGAAACGCTGGTGGTCTCAGTCGATCGTGAAAGGGATTGCGGTGATATTGAGATCCCTCGCCGTGCCTGATATTCCTCTCGAGCCCTCCTGTTCTTTGGCCAATCGACTCGTCTCATACCCATCGATATGAGAAGCTCAATTATGACATTATGACTCTTGAACTCTGCCGAACCTTGGACTTCCGAAGATTCATAGATCGGAAGATGACACTGCTTTGAAAAAGCCCCTCTGAGTCGAGCAGGCTGTCGAGCTCCATTCTTCTGGAGTCTCGTCTATATCTTCCGCGTTATTCCTGGTATCGCAGGCGTCAGACGAGGGTGCTCCGTCACGGCGCTGTTTGAAGATTCCTCCTTCGATGCAAAGCTATCCTCTGCGGTCTGGATTCGCTCACAGCCACGTGGTCGCTGCTTTGAAAACAGAGCACCTATCCACGGAATCTCGTGCGACTGCTGCTTCTACTCGTGTCTGTCATCGGCCGAACGCGATCTGGTGTTGTGTTCTCACGCCGACTGAGCGAGCGTATGAATGACGGACGAACAGAGTAGGTATTCTGAGCATCACACCGACTGACTGACTGCTGACTGCCTAGCTAGCTAGCGAGCTGGCTGGCTGACTCGGTCATCTCCTTCCGAAGCAGAGGTTTTCGTGGCGGAGAGAGCGGCGAAAGGGTGTCACCAGTTCGACAGATGAATAGCATTGTGGAGGGAAACGAACGAGAGACACAAACGTAGCGACGCGAGGAAACGACACGAAGCAAGCTGTAAGGGATGGCGTCTCGTTAATCTCAGCGGCGAAACGGATCCGCCCGCCGTCCCTCGGAGCTCTCGTCGCCAACGACATCCTGAATCAAAGGCCTTCTCCAGAATCTCTCGCACTCGAACATAGGTCTCATATTTCCTTCAGATAATAAGTCATCCGGCATCTCGCGCAGTCGGGCACACGGATCCAATTCGCGCGACAGCGTATCGGCTGCGTGTTCAATATCTTGTTCCCACGGTGGAATCTTCGATACCCTTATCAAGTCCCAAGTAGTACACGCACCGGGAAGACCTTGAACAACTGCGACCGCTACAGTGCAAAAGTCTGACCGGAAGACGGGGAAAGAAGTGGTCATAAATTCGGTGGTCGACGGGCAAGCGTCTGCCAACAACCCGGGAGCAACTGTGGTGTTAGGGCAAGACAAGACGAGATCGCAATGAGTCGATGCAATGAGTTCGGCCAACGTTAAATAGCCGAGCCCGGAAAAATCTTGACACCTCGATCGCTCGCGCAGGCACGAACTGTGACAGGACGACGATGACGACAAACCTACCCTGTTCTGCGACACTCGAGCTGTCGGTCGACCAGGCAGTCTCTGACTGGAAGCGTTCGATCGTTCGTTTGTCGGAACGCATTGTCGACTCGACAGGGTACTAACGCAAGAGTGATAAAGAGAACGCACACGCTCAATTTATTGGCCAGCTCATCATTCTGACTGAGGCGTGGCGGCAGCGGCGGTAGGCGAAAGCAGAGCTTGAAACCGAGAGTCTCAACGATAAGCGTAAAAACCTTGGCAAACATTGACAAATCTCTGGGTAAAAAAGTTCACTCGAACAAAAGCGATCTATCTCTTGTTCGCGAGTTTATCACCCTGCGAGCTGGTCGCTTGTTCTGTCTCTCGGTCAGTGAATCTCTCTGCGGCGAGTCTCTCCGAAGCATGCTGTCTCTCCAGGCCTATGCAGTGTACTCGACTGAGCACTCGCTACCGGATGTCTCGTGGGTCTGGCCCACATGTCTACAAGGACTCTCGGAAGATTCTTTCTGAGAAAACAATTTCCTCCCAGTCGAGAGAGACCGGGAACGGCAGGAGAATTATCACAATAACACTTTGTCTTCAACTCGTCAAAGCATCGGAACCGCGCGGCGAGCAACATAAAGCAAACACGCAAAGTACATCTGCCGACAAGATCTTAGGGTTCCGTGGAAGTCACCGTGCTGCGGAACCTGAAAGCGCTCCTCGGCTGTGTCTGTTAGATGATTGCCCCTCGATCCGGGGCTTGAATGAGGAAGCGGCGGAGAGTTTCGGAAATCTCGAAGCGTTTCGGTGGAAATAAGCGTTCCTTTATTCTCTCCATTCTAGAATTTGCTCTGGCGTCGGAATGACTCCTTACGATGCAAGTGATCTCGATTCCTGATGAGTTTACATGCTTATATACACTATGATTGAAATCTCGAAAGTTCTCTAACTTATGTTGTCAGCTAGCAAAGAGGGCTTGGTTTCTGTTCCGTGCGTTTCTTCCAGCCCAACGAGCAGTTATCGTGTAGAACTGACCAGACTTCCATCAGCAGCTGCAACGGGAGGGAAAACGAATTTTTATCCGATATAGTACGAATCTGACCATCCATGGTGGGAATCTCCATCCGCAGCGATTCGGAAGATGGGATTGATCTCCGCTTCTCACCATGACAAGAACAATGGAGAACACGACCACGGTCGCATTCCGATAGCCATAGTTCTCCACCAGGAAACCTCCCAGCATCGGTCCGATGGCGTTCCCCATGAAGCACGCGGGCATGAAAATTCCCGAGAGCATCGCGTATGTTCCTAAATTATCCGGGAGACCTCTCTCATTTCTGTGGAATCGAGGACTGATTTAATTATTTATTGATCTATTATTAGTAATATCGAAAGCGCTGCTCGACCAAACATGGATCGTGGATCAGGGGTAAGGGCCCGAGGGATAATAATTCTGCTATCGCCTCGGTCTGAACACGGGCGACTGACGGTATTCTGCCCAGGGCCGGAAGGACGGAACGCTCGTCAGAGCCTGCAGGGCAGAATTCCCCCCAGAGCCTGCAGAGCACAATCCTCGGATCGGGTCCGGTCGAACGAAGGTTATTGTCAACAACAGCATGAGCTACTCACGTGACAACTCCGAGGCTGTGCATGAACGAGCACACGAAGCTCGGACCGTAGCCTGTCCCCATAAACGCCTGCATAACTAGAACAAGCGGCAACGTGGGCCGCATATCGAGCACTGGAAGAGGTCCCACGAATGCCATGGCGATGCAGGATAACGCTGCCCCGGCCACCACGAAGTATCGCGGATCACCCTGAGGAGCCGATATGCTTTTAGTCCAATAATTCCCTCTATCGCCAATCTGGTCCTCCGGAATATTTTTGTTCCTCTCGCTCGACGCTGTCCTGGAGTTCCCCTTCAGACTCACCACTCGTTTGCTCATGATGCCCCAAAATATACTGGAAATCGAGTACAGGCCACCGCAGACGACGAAGCAAAGTCCGGTGTACGTCGGAGACAACTCGAATTGTTGTAGATTAATTGCCAGGGTGGCATCGTTGAAACCGACGATAATGAAGGTCGACATCACCATCAGAACGTTGAGAATTATCCGTATGTCGAATACTGCCGCCCAGGAGTACTTCGTCTCTTCGGAGCCCTTGTCTGAAATTGAGCATTTCATCATGCCCGTCATTGGTTCTTGGCTTGATTTTCGATTGGATTACCTTAATGATTGCCTCGTCGTGATTGCCGCTATCAGTCAAAAAGACCATTCGATCATCGGCGGTACATTTATAGCTGCCATACAAGTTTCATAGGGGACAGAAGAAGTATGCACAGAATGGCTGCACCTTCGATCACACGTGAATGAACGAAACTAATGGATGTGTTTGGGTGTGCTGCTAATCAGCCGTTGGCGGGCAAATTATTTGATTGATTTCTCGGATCTATGCTCCCCATCTTCGATCGTCACAACGTATAGGATAGCGACAAACATGTCATGCGGGGTCGGGCCGATTCGACCATAAAGCGGAAACGGCCGGGCCGCAGGGACGCTATAGGAATACCGTGGAGATAGGCGACTGGCGGCTAATTGGTAAGTCATTGTAAAACACTGACCGATCGTGGGAAACGTCGCCATGACGAATACTGCTGTAATGGTTGTGATGCTCCCAAGAACGAAAAAGGGCAAACGGAAACCTCCATGCTGGAAAAACGGGTGATGATCAAAATTCACAAAGCGAAATCAGAATAATGAAGAAGCGGAATGAGGAATACGGCTCTGCCAGAAGCCATGTCTCCCAGTTTGGAGAAACTTCGTGGAATTCGATCATTTGAAGGAAAATCAGGAACCCGAGGCCGGGAATCATGAGACCATTCTCGAATGCATCACGAAATCCCCCAATATCGGCGCCGAGCTATGACCGAGCAGGTGGGTTGAGTTGTGCGCTCGCGTAGATCTACCTCGTAAAGGAATCCCCCGATGGCTGGTCCGGCGACGACGCTAGCGCCGTAAATGGTCTCAATGATGGGCTGAAAGAGATATAGATCGTTCATCAAAAGCCGCGATATTCAGCTTCTATTACTCCGATGAGACCAACCGACGGATAGACTGACGGCGGGCAGCCAGCCGACCGGGCGAGGGGGCAAACATCAACACGATATGCCAGCCCGCCGCCCAGAGGCTGTATATTACATTGGCGGCCACATCTATTATACACTGGAGCTCCTGTGATCACATTATGCTCCATGCCATGTTGACGACCGCTCCAAGCTCACCGAGCCAGCCGGGGTGGGCAGAGGAGCGCTCACTCAACCCCATGCTGCGCTCAGGCTCCATTGAGCTGTTCGGGGGACACTGCTTGCGTCATGCATACGCGTACCCGTAGTTCCATCATTCTATCGTCCATAAGCCCGAGATCGGGAGTTAAAGCTCTGTGCAGGGTCGGTACATTCCGGCCGCAGCTTGAGTGACGCAGCGGGCTGTCGAGAGCGGCTCCGTGCACCCTTGCGCTTGTTCCACAATAAATGACTTCTAGCCTCACCAGACAAATGTGAGCCCACGGTCCGAGTTCGGCACCGATTATGGCGTAGTAGGTTGTTACAGCCATGGAGAAGCCGACGGATTGCACTGAGCGTAGGATCAGACCCGCGGCGAAGAATGGAGTCCCATTCGGAACCGATGTCAAGAACCTGAAAAATTCCGTTCGACATTATTTATTGAAGGATCGTGATGTCGTGAATTCGGTAGGGGGGCATAGATCTTCTTTAGAATTCGAAGGAGTGACCCACCCTGTGACGATTGTGAGGATCCCGTCCAAGAACATCCCCAGGACGAGCATTTTCTTCGCCTTCACGGTTTTCACGAGCTGCAAGAGAAGCATTCGATCCGCAACAGATTCGAGGTCCATAAGCCCCGCGACGATCGCTGCTTTGACATCGGCAGGGCGAGAAACTCACGAGTTGTCCAACGATGGGTGCCATGAAGAATCCAACGGCCGGGTGGATCCCGAAAACGATTCCGAATTGAGTTTTATCGTTGTCTCGTTTCCCGGACTGAGAATGGGAAAATTGACCTTCCGTATTGAGTTTCATGTTTATACTTCGACCGGCTGTTTTAGACCGACGTCGAGTGTTGTCTGAAATTCGCGCATCTGGAGATGTGGTTTGTCTGTCCCCCAAAGTTCGCAACATCCATCCCAGCAATAAGGACGTCAACACCACCGGCGGACAGGACAAAAGCACAAGCATCTACAACAACAACGACAGCGGCGTCGGCAACTATGACAACAGCTGTCTCTTGCTGTCTCGGATCTAGTGCTTGGATCGACGGCAGGCGAGGGGTTGGACGCGAAGAACAAGCTGGCCGCCCTGACCTCCATCAACATACAGGAGGATGGAGCTCCGCGTAGAAATTTGCCGTTTTTTTTCATCTGAATTTCAAATTCCTAGCGGACGAGACCCGAGACGAAGCCTCAGTTTTTCTCCCGTTGTTTCAGTCGAGATCGTCCCATACGCTTATTTGGAATCCACCGAACTCACGCGGGGAAGTGTCTCTGAATCAGGGGGGGGGGGAGTATCTCTGAATCAAAAAGGGTGTCTCTAAATCAGGGGGGAAGTATGTCTGAGAGACTATGTCGGGTCCCGTGGGTGAATATTTCTCTCACCTCCTCAGCGTAGAACGGTGCGATGTGCGAGAAGCAGGAACCTTCTGTTAGACAGGCGACAGAAAGGAAGAACATGATCGTGAACTCCCTCTTTGAGAATCGTCGCTCCGGCGCTACGATCTCGAAGGTCTCCTTCGTCTTCATCGTGAAGTCTATCGGTAGAAACCTTCCGGAAGAAACCGTAGAGAATGGTCAAACTTTTCACCGAGACAGGTCTTGACTGGAAGTTTTTCAAAGCTTCCCCTCAACTTCCGGAACCTGTTTTCTCTCGAGCACGAAAACTCCACGTAGGAGCCCCCAGACGACAGAAGAGAAACTCCGAGCTCCTAGGGTTTCTCTGACTTCCAGAGAACGCTTCTGTGGACAGTATTCAAGCAGCGGTTCTACAGACGCTCTCTCGAAAACTCCGTACATGAGCTTGGTTCACTTTCATATAGAGCTAACACACTTTCCCGATCGCCGCGACGCGCTCGCACGATCAAGTTGTTGATGCTCACGGTGACCATGAGACTGAACGCAATCCTGATAATTTTTCACAAATCGCTTAGGTTCCGAAACGAGCGCGGGCTGGTCTCGGATGCGTGATTCCATGGTGAGAACACGAGCCGAGGGGGTCGAAGTCCACTGCACAGAATATGCCTTTTCCGCATCGCTGATTGATCCCCGTCGCGTCGGTCGGCGACTCCGCAGGTGCTTCCGAGCACAGACCGCACCGGCCATGATAGTCACGGATGGGTCTTTGTAGTGAAGATGCCACGGCACGAGCCTCATTGACTTTCTTCCAGAAACTATCCGAATCTAGGCACGTCACTCGAACTATACGCAAGGCCAGAATTCGCTGATGATTAAACGTCGCCGACTCACTTGATCACATACTCAAGAATTCAGGTGTCTAACAATGTCGAAACGATAGAATGAAGGAAGATTGGCTCGATCCATTGACGAGAATGATGTCTTACAATCAGCGGTCAGATTAGTCCCGGGCAGAGAGAATCAAGCCATCAATGCCACTATCTGAATTCCGTGGATTCTACACAATTTGTCCAGCTTGGGTTTAGAGATAAGATCACGGGAGTTGTATCTCTTCCGGTCGGAGAGACCGATTAGCGGCCCGCGATCGATGAGATCGCTTCTCTCATGATCGAGCTCATCATCACTCCGGAGTTCTGGGGCTCGAATCTCAACTCGCGGATTACGAGTCGGAAACCGTATTCCAGGACTACTATGCGCCCTTCCCTCCTTCCGGGAGATCTCCCCAGGAGAAAGCTACCATCGCTCGACCTGCTTCCTTTTTGCATAAGTTCGTCAAATCAATGTCAATTAAGCTGAACTACTCTCGAGATTAGGACAGACCTTCCCGACGGTAAGCTCACTTTGCGGGATCGGATGCTCGAAGAAGCAGGACGCACGCTCTCTGACGACGATGCCCAACTCACGAAATCACCAAGGCAGACATTCGCCAAGATTGAATCACAGAATGAAGTGGAGGTCGAGCGAATGATACCAAGGAAATCCACTCCGTCAGAAGAGAGAGCTAATTCTTTTAAAGCGGTGCTGTTCTGAGTGATCTTCAAGGTGAAGTTCCAGGATGAGCTTTGAACGACGGGCCGCGGTTTTTTTCCGTTTCTAGAAGATCCTCATCTGGGAACGGGAAGTTCATGCAACACCCCTCCGTGACTCCTGGAACCTCGTGGCGGAGTGATGAAGGCTCCTCCAATCGAGATTCGACTCGTTTCCCGTTTCTAATTGATCGAGAGAATCGTGAGCTTTTACAACCAGGAGCATCGTTGATCTCTTCCGCGATAAGTACAAGGGACCGAGTTTTACAGCTGATTCCAAAATCTCTCGCAAGCTCCGTTTATATCGACCAAGTTCCGAACGGGATCGGCCTGGATCTCTCGGTAAGAATATCGTCTTATTACGTAGAAGGTATAATATCTTATCCTGTGATGAAAATAAATATGTCCTGGGAAGACGGGGCCATGGAAGAAGTTTTGAAGCAATTCGGGACGAGGTGTTTCGTGACACGACAGTGCCTTGGGTTCAGGTCGAGTCGAATTCTCTCTCTTCGAATCTCGAGTTGGAATACAGCATCGCAGTAAGAGAAAAAACTCTGGCTGTTTTATTGATGCTAGAAGACGGAGGAATGGCATGGTTGTAACATTTTTTTCCTCACCGGATAGGAAATGTTAGAGCTTCGGAAACTGGAGAGAAAGAATCATGTAGAAGAATCGGGAGAGACCGTGGGGGGAACACGAACTCAAAGCAATCGTATAAAACGGTTTCCTACCTCCGATAAGCGACCAGCGGACTCAGAGATGGTGCAACGTTCCCATAGTGGGAGATTTTCGTCGATTCGGCTTAGCTTCCAGGCGAACGATCTCAGGACGAGCGAAGACACTCCCGTTATAGCGAATCGGGAAGTCGTGCAGTCACGTATCTCCGTCGGACAGGTTTCCGGGGGGCTCATTTGACGAATTAGATAAAATCAGAGGAGACGGAAAATTACTTTATGGTTCCGGCTGCGTCACCGAGGACTGCACGTGGCGGTCCGTCGTCGTTTTTCCAGCGTCGAGATCAACCTAGTCCCTAGCGCTTGCGTCTTGTGCTGGAATTCGACCCAATCAGGTCGTGGACGAAATTCTCTTTTCGTTGAGGTGGACAGGGGGTCGCGCGGCATCCGTTGCACAATCTCCGCAAGGTGTTATCGACGCAAGAGTGTCGTCTTCGTGGTCGTCGTCGTCAACGATTCACTGTGAGAGTTTGTCTGTGTGACTGTTTTTCGTTTGTGTGTGTGTGTTCCCAAGTGTTTATACCGCTCGGGCAGGATGGCTGTTGTCGGTGGTTTCGCCTCTGGCGATGCATTTAACAATCGTACAGCTCACACGGTTCCTTGCCAACTTGCCTCTGCTCGTATCAGTGCCATAGAGTTGCTCGCAGCAATTGTTGCCTCGACGTCTGCCGACATGAGTTGTACCTGAATTGCCGAGCGATCTCCGGCGCGTCCCTGTGGCACAGTCACTCCGAGATATCATCTGTCGTTTCGGGAACCTTATCGTCCGCGAGCGTGCTCACCGCATCGAAGAGCTCTGTCAAGACATCCGGCACCTTTGTCGGCATACCACCGTGCCTTTCTTTACTAATATGTATGACAGAGAATATCTTCCTCCATTCGACACAATGAGCTCCGGGATCGAGTCCCTCGATTTTTGCGGTGTGAACGAGCGCGAATCTGCGGATATTATGTGTAGCGAAGGATAGTATTTACACATAATATGTTGTTGCATGTCCGATGTCTGTCAAAAAGCCCAGAGTCAAACTGAGGGTGTTTAGCTTGTATTCGGCCAGGATGATATTGTTTCAACAGAAAAAAAAGTAGAACACCCATCTGTCCAGTTGTTGGCTGTACTTTGACTGGCTGCCACTCGAGTGATGTCTGCATTGGATCTGGCATTCTGATTAGTTGAGTAGAGACGGCCCATTCGGCCCGCGGATCGGGAGCGCAAGCGGGCGGGTGAGCCGCCGATGATGTGAGAGTTGTATGAAATCTCAGTCAGCGACTGTTTCGTGTCATTGGAAGGCAAAAATGTTCTCTTATTTCCTACTCGTCCTAATTCAATACAGAGAGGAGAACACAGAGGCTGGGTTCGGGACGAGGGAACTTCCGATCCGGTGAGAGGAAACGTACCCGAAAAGGGTGGCTATCGGAGGGAAGAAGTCGTTTGGGCGAGAAATGTAAGCTCCAAACAGAAACGGGATTCAACCATCTCGTAGTAGAGGCGGATGCCGAAAGCCGCGGATGGCGATGGGTGCTCCAGTGGAAACCGTGGAATGAGGTGGGAAAAACGCGCTCATAAGAAAAGATGACAGGACGCCGATGCGGAAACAGAGTTCGCAGTGGAAGCCGCGACTCGCGACCCACCCCATTCGACATCCCTCAGGATTCGATGTGACGAGCCGTCCGTTGTGAGCAACGGATCGGAACAACGTTCTCCCTTTCTATCTCCCTCTCGTCCGTTCCGAAATTCCTCACCGAGTGAGGACTCTGATTGTTTCTTTTTCTCGGATCACGTGCTGTAGTCCTCAGATTCTATTGGCCGGTGTTCGATTCATCGAATCACATTGATTCGGACTCATGCGTTCGAGAACGAAGTTGCTCGCGACACAATGCATAAGAAAATTCGAAACGCCTGGATTCAAATCAATCCCAATAATTCAGGCAAATAATGGGCATGGACGCTTCACAATCGAATCAAGATTTCGGGGTCTCCTTTCGACCGAGAATGGCTCGGTTCCATAAAGGGCATATGCAAAATATGATTCCCATGCATGCACATATGTGAACCCAAGATCACAGATATGTATGGTGTAGCCGTGGCGAGCGAGGCTTCGATTCGGGATCCGCCTCAAGGATGCATAGACTCCGGAGTCTTCGATCGGGAGCCAAATATTCGCGCCTGCAGAGGAGGAGGTAAATCTTTGCATCGGAAAATCTGTGCTCCTCCATGACACTCCTCTTGTGCTATGAAGAACTTTCGATTCGATCGGGCCCCAAGCCACGCTTCCAGTGATTCCGAACAGAGAGGTCTCTCATGAATGATTGATACGTCGTTCTCTCTCTACGGAGTTCTTCGACAACCCGTTCATGAGCCTTTAAAGTGAGCATTGCCGATGCCTTGTTCGCAGACGACGACAATGACGACCGATATCTCTTTTCGAAGCGACTTCCTCCTTCTCGAGCGTTCCTCTCCGATGTTCCCGCGTTGGCTGCGTCGTCGGTTCCTCTGCCTGTTCCGACTCAACTCTCTCCGCCTAATTCAGGCGAACGACCCGTTAAATCCAAATCTCGTGGCCAAGATGAAGATTGATCATCTCCACGGAAGAGTTTGCGGGCGAACAAGGGAGCGAGGAGTGCGCTGACGAACTCTCAGCACTTCGGCTCGGCGCGAGGTACCTACGAAATAATTCCACAATTGTTCGTCGCAGCCTGGGGGGAGACGTCGCGACGTCTTCCGCGGACCGATGGAAGTAACTGCGGAGGGGAACATATTTCGAGCCTTGAGAAAGTCCTGAATAATGCCAGGAGTTTCGAAAATTTCAGTTCTCAGAAAGTTTGGGTCGCCTTCGATCTCTTCTTCCCTGGAGCCGATGTCGTACTCGGTCACATATGTGGCGGACCATAGAAGGTCCAAGGTTGGTCCCACGGATCGAGGATACGCGAGAAGCCGTTCAGCGGCGCGGAACTCCTATGATTGATGAGACGACAGCCGATGTCGACCATTATATGAGAACTTTCATTGAGATTTACACTTCGAATGATAAATGGTCAGGGAGAGTTTTCCCTAGCTCTCCGGCGGTGGTGGTGGCGGCGTCGCTGACGACGTTCGCACCCCCACTC